TGTGTGTGTGCACACTCTGTTTCATGCATGTGTGCTAATCCTGTTTATATTAATCCTTCTTGGGATTTTCTCTGAGCTTCTTGGGTCTGTACTTTGATTTATTTTATTATTTTGGAAAATTCTCAGTCATTATTTTATCTAATATTCCTTCTGCCCCATTCTATCTTCTCCTTCGGAATTCTAATTGCACATATATTAAATGATTTGGCATTGTCCTTTAATTCTTGGATGCTCTGTTCTGGATTTTAAATTTTTACTTTTTTTGCTTTGTGTTTCACTTTGGATAATTTCTATTGACCTATCCTTGAGTTATCGATTCTGTCCTTGGCTGTGTTTAGTCTACTGATGAGCCTGACCATGCATTCTTTGTCTCTGTTATCATGTTTTTTATTTCAACATTTCCTTAACTCTCACAATTTCCATCTTTTTACCAGAGTTTGAGGACTCAGGCTTCAGAAATACATTCTCCACTTATTTTCTCTGAACCTGGGTTTTATCTTTTAGAAAGTAAAAAAGGGGGGATATATAATAATAACTAACAGAATTGTTTTGAGGATCAAATGAGGTTCTTTGGGTAAGTCTCTTCTTTCCCTGTCCCCAGGCTTAGTGGCTGTCATTGAAAGGCTTGGACTGTGTCATTACTTTAGTCCTGTTTAGTTCCTAAATTGTAGGATTCTGTGAAGCTAACAGAACCTATTATTTATTGACAGCCTGTATTAATCTCATGTAGAATCTGAGAAAGGGGTACAAATCACATTTAAAAATGTGTTTGCAAAACATTTTACTTTTGCTAGGTATGTGTGGATTTTAAGAAAAGGTAGCATTAAATCCAGTTGCCATTTGGTTAAATTTGTTAAAGAATCATTAAAATTTTTCAACTGTTGGGTTTCCTGACTTGTTTGAGAAATTTTATGGTTCATAAAACATCTCACTTTCTTTGCCTGTGCCTGTAGGATTACAAATTATTGGATAAGCCCCCAAATTTTGCAATGTGAGAAAAAAAATGGAGGTTTTGCTTTTTACTGCCTTGTGCAAATGAATGATATTCTCATCAGATTTGGCTTCACAATCAGACTTGGGTTCAAATTCTGGTTGCACAGCTGTGAAGTCTTGGGCTGATCATTTAACCTTTGAGCCTGACTTTCTGTATCTGTGAAATAGGGCTGCCACCTACATCAGAGAGCTGTTTTGAAGGTAGAATACATAATGTATGTAAAGCTTTGGGTATAGTGCCTCGTTAGTAGTGATCTAACTGATAGCATTAGAACAGTAGCTAAAATGAAATTTGCCACCATTAAGTCAAATTTTGTGTAAACACAAGGGGAAAGGCAAGTTTTATATGCTTTTTATCCCTTTTACGGGAAAGGTCCACCTCATAGAAGGATAGTTTAAAAATAGGGAGAAGGCTAACTGAAAAGTGAATAATATTTATGAATAAGACTCTACTAGCCAAGAATTAGTGACAGGTGCTCACATTTAATCCTCAGAGCAGCCCTATGAAGTAAGCTGCCTCTGCTCTGAGAAGCTTTTCTTTCTCTGAGTGCGGGTTCCCGCCCCTCCTTTGTGTTCTTACACTCACCTTGTCCTCTGTCACAGTCTTTTCTATGGAACCCCTCTCCCCTCTCCATTTCTCATCCGCACTGAAAGGTTTTCTGTGGATTTGGCCCAGAAGTGGCCCACAGTAAGTTGAATTGAATTGCTGTGATGTTGAATCTTGGTGCTTTTTCTGGTCAAGGCTGAAGTCCCACTTTCTTCGTTATAGATGAAAATTATTAAAGTATTGAAAACCAAATGTTGGTTTGAGGTAAAAATATTAAGAAAATAGTTGTGGATAAAGAAATCAATCTGAGCCCTGGCCGGTTTGGCTCAGCGGTTAGAGTGTCGGCTTGCGGTCCTGAGAGACCCGGGTTCGGTTCCCGCTAAGGGCACGTACCTCGGTTGCAGTTTGTCCCCGGCCCTGGTCGGTTGTGCGGGTGGCAACCACTCGATGTGTCCCTTCACATCGATGTTTCTCTCTCTCTGTTCCTCTCTCTCCCTCCCACTCTACCTGAACAAAAAAAAAAAAGAAATCAATCTGAGCCCCCCCCCCCCATACATACTGTTTGTTAAGATAAATACAGTATTTTAAAGTAGCTGTTGCTCTGGAAATTACCTTTGAGTAAATATTATGCATTTCAAAGAGGTGTCCAAATTCTGTGTTTCTAAGTAATTTTACTGTAATGGGTATTATTCAAGATTGAAATTGTTTAATACAAAGAAACATTCTTTATTCATACTGTAAGCAACGTCATCCAAAACACAGCCCATAATGTAGGCATTCTTATTTGAATAACACAGGAATAATGTCAGATTATTTTTGCAGTTTTTTTTGTCATAACAAAAATTTTCACAAAATTGCATTCCTGATCTCAGACTGGAGTTTAGAGTTGGAGGGAACCTACAAGATCCAATCTAATTCCTTCCTGCCACCCAGAGCTATGAAGCAATTTATCTGAAGTCACACAGCTGACTAATGACAGAGCCAGGGAGAGAACAGAGTCTCTAATCCATTTGCCATAGTGTTACATTCCTCGGGGAAAAAACTGCCTACTCACTCTTGGCTTTCAACGCGAGAGTCTTGGGGTAAGGTTTTTTTCCATGACTGGTGTTCTTTTGTTTTCCTGTGTGGGTGTCTGGGAGCCTGCTATCAAGGGTGGTGTTTTTTTTGTTGTTGAACAATTTGACCATGTAAGGCACTAAACAAGGAAAAGGCATTTGTCTAGTTAGCACTTAAGGGATCAGGAAGAAGTGGTTGGAGCTCAAATTCTCTGCCCTCAGTATTGACAGGTAGGTATTTTAAGGTTGAGTTTCTTAACCTGGAGTCTAAATTCCCAAAATATTTATGAAAATTAAGAAAATAAATGCTTACTTCCCAAGAAATGCATCCGTAGCTTTCATCAAGTTAGCAAAGGGTACCTAATTAAAAACTAGTGTTTTTAGAGGGAGGGAGAGCTAAGCACACCTGGTGGAGGACCGGTCTCCAACTCTTGCACTCTGACTTCTAATTACACTCGAGGGCTTGCTTATCTCCAGCCCCTTACTCTTGGGCTTCTTCCTACTGACAAGCCTTCCCCAGGTGGCTTCCTGGACCTTGTCCTAGAAGCCAATGGAGGCCTCAACCTTTTTTTTGCAGGAGCTTTTCCTGTAGGTGTTCCAAGGTGACTTTCTATCTCCCTTTTCCACTTACTGCTTCCAAGAAAGGGTATGAGACGCAGGGATTTTTGTTCGTTAGAGAGCTCAAGAGTGTTCTTTCAGTTACATTCTAGGTAAAAGTAATCTGTGAGCTGATTTGAGAACCTAAGACAGTTGCTATAAGAAAAAAAATATAAGCCCTGGCTGGGTGGCTCAGTTGGTTGGAGTGTCTTCCTGTACATCAAAAAGTTGTGGGTTCAATTCCCAATCAGGGCATATGCCTGGGTTGTGGGTCAACTCCTGGTTGGGGCATGTGTGAGAGGCAGCCGATCGATGTTTCTCTCTCACATTGATGTCTCTCTCTCTCTGTCATCCTTCTTCCCTCTGAACATGTCCGTATCCTTGGTTGATAAACCAAAGAACTTGTATACATATATGCAAGACCAGTGGACATAGACAATAATGTGGTGAAGGCAGGGGTGGGAGTCGGGAGTGGGGAGGAGGGGGTTAATGGGGGGAAAAGAAGGGACATCTGTAATGCTGTCAACAGTAGAGATAAATAAATAAAATAAAATGGAGAAAAAATAAATAGAAAGAAAAAAGTATAATCAGAATTCCAAGCTAATACTTTGCAAATTAACTTTTAGAATGTCTCTGGTTCTTTAGTTAGGCAGCTCTGTGTTTGAAATAGAAACTCTTGACATTTTCCAGAAACAGATTGAAAATTTATGGATGGTGATTTCAGAGTTGCCCAGATCTGTCTGCAAAGTTGTCTTAATTTAGTTTTTTCTCCCTTGAATTTTATAAGACTTAGAAGAAATCTACCTCTGAATAGGAATTCATTTTAATGGGCTTCCTTCCTAGGAAAGAACATATAGAAAGCACATTCTAAATTTTCAAATCTAGCATCTGGGCACACTAAGAAAAAGTTACCACTAAGACTAAAGTGGGCAGAATGTGTTCACTTGTTTTAGTCATATTAAAAACCCCATACTGAGCCCTGGCTGGTTTGGTTCAGCAGTTAGAGTGTTGGCCCACGGACCAATGAGTCGCAGGTTCGATTCTGGCTAAGGGCACGTACCTCGGTTGCGATTCATCCCTGGCCCTGGTTGGGGTCGTGCGGAAGGCAGCCACTCGATGTGTCCCTTTCACATTGATGTTTCTGTCTCGCTCTTCCTCTCTCTCCCGCCCACTGTATCTGAACAAAAGTGGAAAAATGTCCTCAAAGTGGAAAAGTATCCTCGGGTGGGGATAAAAAAAACTAATAAACCCCATACTGAGTACCTATCTTGGACACTCAGGCACTGTGTTAGATGCTGAGGAATGAGAAGTGGTCTCTTCCCTTGCGAAGCTCATGATCTGCTGGGGACACAGCTCAGCAAATAACAGTTCAGCATGCTCATAGTCCGCTAGAGGTAACAGAAGAGCATTGATAACAGTACTCTGCCTGGCCAGGAAGAGGGGTGGGAATGAGAGTAACCTTTACAGAAAGGTGACAGATAATGAAGTTACGTCTTAAGATTCAGTAGAAACTTATCAGGCGAAGAAGGGATCTAGGGCCCTGGCTAGTGTGGCTCAGTTGATTGAGATTCATCTGATTTACCAAAAGGTCACCGGTTGATTCCAGTCAGTGCTCATATGGGAAGCAACCAATCAATGTTTCTCTCCCCCTCCCCCCTTTCCTTTTTGCTTCCTCTCTTTCTAAAATCAATAAAAACTTCTTTTTTAAAAGAAAAATAAGGGATCTAGGTATAAATGGTAGGTTTGTGCTTTCCTAATTTTAATTAAATTTAACATTTACCATTTCCTTATTTTATATTTTCAATTAGAGCTCCAAACGAGAATGGAAGCCACTGGAGGATCGTAGCTGCACAGACATACCATGGCTGCTGCTTTTTATCCTCTTCTGCATTGGGATGGTAAGGAAACTCACAGATGACCAGAACCTGAACTCATGATCCAAGGGAGTGATGCGGAGTTGGTTAAAGAGGGAGGTTGTTATTTATTTATTTTTTTTATTCCTCCTGAATTGCTTATATAACTGGAGGTCATAGGATACCACAGAAGCAAGTTATTTTTCTGCCATACTATTTACTGGTACTATCTGGTATCCCTCGAATATGAATATATATATATAAGAAATACAGAAAAACTGGCTGAGAAGCAAAGTTGATTGGAATGTCATCCTGATATGCCAAGGTTGTAGGTTTGATCCCTGATCAGGGCACATATAAGAAACAACCAATGAATGCATAAATAAGTGGAGCAACAAAGCAGTGTTTCTCTCTCTCTCTTTTCCTTCCTCTCTCTCTCTAAAAATCAATTAAAAAAACATCAAAATTTAAGGAGCAGGTGGAACTATATGACTAGTGATCATTTCAAAAAGCCAGATCATTTTTTTTAATCCTCACCTGTTGTTATTGATTTTTAGAGAGAGCGGAAGAGAAAGAAACATCAATCAGTTGCCCTGACCAGGGATTGAACCTGCAACCTTTTGGTGCATGTGACGACGCTCCAACAAACTGAGCCACCTGGCCAGGGCAGAAAGCCAGATCATTTGACATAAATTTCTGTGAACTCTGATCTTGATGGGGTGGAGAGCAGAACACTGACCATGGAGTCAAGGATCCTAAGTATTTATCCAACCCAGTTACACAAACCTGATGGTTATTTTTGTGCCAGATTTCCTCTCAGGCACTCAATGTTCCTTTGTAGAAAATTAGAGGTTTTGCTAGGTGGTATCTACAGTGCTTCCAGTTTTGACATTTTTTAAAGTTCTTCCTAGATTGGGGGGCGGCAGCTGTTTGCTCACTGCTTCTTCCTCCTTCTGTCCACTCCAGGCCCCTGCTGCCTGCTGTGTCTACTATCATGAATGGCATCTCTCAGTTGGGTATAGATGTTGCAGGAGCAGAGTCCCTGGTACAAAGGTTGGGAGTGTCCTTATCCAAGGTTGCAAACCGACCCTGCCCTGCAGTCGTTTCTGGTATAGACTTCAGGGACTTTAGAGTCACTGCCTGTGTGCTGGGCTGGAAAAAAGGTAGGAAACAGCTGTGATAGGGCTAACTGATGTTTAGAGCTAGAAAAGACTTGGAAATCCTCATCTGGTCTGTCACCCTCGTTTTGCAAATTCAGAACATCAGATCCAGAGGTGGATGTGGCCACGCCAAGGCCGCACTGCTAGTTAATGGCAGAGCTGGGAGCAGAGCCCCAGTCTCATCACTTCAAGCCGGCGCTCCTTCTGCCGCCAGGTTCCTGCTTCCCCAGGGGACTGTGCACACAGAATTGCTCTCTTTCAGAGTCTTTATGACTCAAAACACAATTATGCTACCTCAGGCAGCCTTTCTACTCTTATGTGTAGTATTTTAACCCCCACTTCTCCATGCCTTTTATAGAGGTTCTTCAGGAAAATTTTATTCTGTGTCTCTCTGTAACTACCCACCTCTCAAATGCCATGTGAGAATCACAGAAAAACCCTAATCGTGGCTACTAGGCCTAATTGTAGGTACCAGTTCTGCCCCTTGAACCAAGAAAAAGAAAGTAGTAAATTTTAATGAGATATAATAAATCCCACAAAATAAAGAGTATTCATTTTATTTTATTTTATTTATTGTTATTTTAAAAATTCTCACCCGAGGGTATTTTTCCATTTATTTTCAGATAGAGCAGGGGTGGCGGGGTGGGGAGAGAAACATCAGTGTGAGAGAGACATTTGATTGGTTGCCTCCTGAAAGGAATATTCATTTAATTTTTTTTTTTCTTTATTGATTTTTTAGAGAGAGAGATAGAAACATCGATGCGAGAGAAGGATTGGGTGCCTCCTGCATGCCCCCCACTGGGGATTGGGCCCACAGCCTGGGCCTGTACCCTGACCGGGAATTGAATTGACGACCTCTTGGTGCATGGGTTGACGTCCAACCACTGAGCCACACCAGCCAGGCCAAGGAGTATTCATTTTAAAGATAATAGACAGCTCTATTTCAGCAAACTTAGGATATTTAGAATAGTCAAAATACAATTTCCGAACATAGGACTTACAAGATAGTGTTCAAGAGTCTACTTAGTTTAATGGAGTGGCAACCGAAATGTGCAGCATACATGAATATGCATGGAGACTGTGGAAAGAGTCTCTGCGAACAGAATTAGTCCCCAGCCTCTCACTACCCTTGAATTTGACTCTGGGACAAATAGCAGCTGACCTTTCAAAATTATGTTTGTAAAAACATGTACCTGCCACCCTTTGTAAAAACATATACCTGCCACCCAAGGTGCTTTTGATTTTCTGTGCTAAAATAAAAAGTTCAGGAACGTGCAATCATGAATGTTAATTGGCTGCCTTGGGACTTGAGAGTAAGGAGCTATTTGTTTACTGAAATGGTTTAATGCAATGTTGACTTTAATGCGATGAAAATTAAGACCCACTGTGTGTACTTTTCTTTTTTTCTTTATTGATTTTAGAGACATAGGAAGGAAGAGGAGAGAGAGATGGAAACATCGATGAGAGAGAACATCAATTGGCCGCCTCCTGCCTGCCCCCCACTGGGGATCAGGCCCACAACCTGGGCATGTGCCCTGACCAGGAATTGATCCGGTGACCTCCTTGTGCATGGGTCGACGCTCAACCGCTGAGCCACACTGGTGGGCCACTGTGTGTACTTTTAAATGCAGGCATACATAGAGTTATTTGTTTTGGAATGATTCTTTTAATGGATTACTATCTTCATGGAGTTGAGCTAACATCAAATTTTACCATGTGAAATTGGAAAAATCTCTAAGTTCTGTTGCCCACCCTTCTGGCAAAACAGTAATTCCAAGTTTGTCTTCTGAATATTTATTTTATATGTTTTTTCAAGTTTTTTTTTTTTCTTCTTTTGGATTTCATTCTGTTATTACTTTAAAGAGAACAGTTAACAAACATTGAGAATTAACTTATGCTCCAGGCTTTCATGGATGTATTTATCTCATTAAATTCTCCCAATTATCCTGAGATAGGTTTTATCCCCAGTTTACAGACCAGGTATAGTGAGGCTAAATATTAGCTTGTCTAAGAATATACTGATGGTGATAAATGGCAAAGATAGAGTAGGACCTGGAACTTTCTGCCTACCTTCTTTTCACATTGAGGCCCAGCAGCTGCTTCCTGTAGAGACTTCTTTCTTGGTCATCTAATATTCAAACCATGTCTTTCTTCACTACCTTACTTGCAGCTCTTTGCTCACTCCGTGATGACTACGCTCCAACTCTGAAATATTTTAAAATCTTATCATCTTTCACTCATCTTCTCCGTTAAGTATTTTTATTTATACATGTTCATTTTTTTTTCATAAATATTTGTACTTCTCTTTCATTTCTCCCCTTACTTTTAGGGTTTTTCCATGCCTTGAACTGTCTAGAACGTTGGGTATTTTTCGAAGTAAATTTTTATCGGCCTTCTTGGGAGCTATCACCATCCTCATGAACTTTCATCAGTATGTTGAAATTATTGGACATATGCTTACCCTGCTCTAAAAAATTACGTGTAGCATGTTTACTTCTGGATGTTTATTTTTTCATTAAAGTAGTAAAAAATGGTTTTCAACCCAATCAGCTGGGATCTTTTAAAAAGTACTGGTTCCTGGGCCCTACCTCAGTGACTCTGATTTAATCTCTGTGATTCTAATGCTCAGCCAGGGTTGAGACCCACCTGTTGTAGGCACTGATAAACCTCTGAAGGGTTTTGAGCAAGAAATGATAAGACTGGATTTAGAAAGGTAGCCCTGGTAGTCAATGTTAAAGATGCTTGTAAAGCCATTGTAAAGGGGGAGGAGATTTCAGGCAGAACACTATGGTAGCTGATGCAGTAGTTCAGATAAATCCAGATAAGAGGTGAAAAACCTGAACTAAGCAGAAGAGAGATTTTTAAAAGTAGGAATTAGAGTCATCACTGTTGCAGGCAAGTGAGAGACAGATAAAGGAGGGCTGAGGGACTCTTGTGTTAGAAGTTCAGGGTAGGGCTGCTTCAGGTCAAATCCTACATTATCTCCTCATAGGTTCTAAACTGCAGCTTCTATACACAGGAAGGGACAAGAATGGGATGGATAAACAAAGTACTTTATTAGTAGCTGAGCACATACCTGATTATATCCAATAAAGTACTCCATTGTAAAAATGACTTGTGGACTAAAGCTGGGGCTACAGCACCTTCCCATCTTGGATGGTCTAACTTTATTCTGTCTCAAGGAGAACATGTGAGAAGAGGAGAGAAAAGGTCCATTTGGACCAAATCAGCCCAGATCAACTTACCATAAAAAGGCAGGAAAGAGCCTTGACTAGGTGGCTCAGTTGGTTAGAGCATTGTCCTGTACACCAAAAGTTTGCAGGTTTTATTCCTGGTCTGGACACATACCTAGGTGGCAGGTTTGATCCCCGGTCTGGGCATGTATGGGAGGCAACCGATTGATATTTCTCTTTCTTGTCAATGACTCTCTCTCTCAGATCAATAAACATATCCTCAGGTGAGGATAAAAAATACATAAAAATTTTTAAAAAGGCAGGAAAGAGAAGAGGCATGGTAGATGTTTACCATGGAAAATGGAAGCTACAAAGCATCCCCTGAAACTTACCCCTGATATTGCTGCTTACTATGTACTAGGTACTATCCTTTGCACTTGACACAGAAGCGTATTAAATTTTCAGAACTGCTCTGTGAAGTAGACATTATCATCATCATTCCTGTTTTACACACAAGGGAACAGAGGCATCAAGCTATGTTAAATAACTTGTCTAGATTACACAGTGGCGACACTGAACGCAGGAGAGAAGAGGAATAAGGTGAGTCTTTAAGAGATCATCCCTTTCTGTTGTCTGGAACTGGGAACAAAAGACAGAGTTGTTGGGAACATGGACCTGTAGGACACACCTCACCTGCTAGGAAAATGTGGTC